AAAAAAAAAAATAATAATAATAATAGTATAGGTAATTATTTAGGCCCCTACATTAGGGGGTTTAGCGCTCAGGGTTGCAACTTAGAGATCAGAGCTTCAGGGCGCAGGGGGAGTAGGAGTTTAGGGTGTTTAGGTTTCAAAGTTTCAGGGGAGGTTGCACGGGAGATTTGGTACATAACTAACGCTAACATTCAATGCTCAGATTAGGAAGAGTCATGAGAAAGAGGATCTTTGTTGTGATTCTACCCATAGGCCCTAAAGTAGTTCCTTTTTGGGGTTCATATATAGAATCCTATAAGGTAACCCCAAAAAGGAACTACTATGGGGCCTAAAACCCGAAGCCCTACACCCTAAACCCTAAACCCTTAACCTGTGAACCCGGAATAAGCCTCTCAGTCTGAATGCCTGCCAGCGACCGGAAACAGAGATCCCAACCGATAATAACCCGCCAAGAAAAAGGTTTAGGGTTCAAGGTTTAGGGTTTAGGGAAGACCAACCCTAAACTCAGACACCCGGCTAAGAACCTTAAGCCCGAAAGCTGAAAAACCCCAAAAGATGCGTCCACATGTCTTCAACAAGCCATCGCGCTCCCCCCTTGACATGGAAAATAAGGGATGTGGATCCAGTGCCCCAAAACAGGCTAACCTCCAGTTACAATACACCCCCGGAAGCTTCGAAGCTGCCCAAAAAAAAATAAACGCTCAACCCTAAACTCCCTAAACCCTAAACCCCTAAACCCTAAACTCCCTAAATCCTAGTAATTAGGCCCTAGATGACGGCCCAGGGATCCGCACTTTGGAAGGGTCTTGGCCTCTTCAATAACCCCTTGAAACAGCTATCTCACCGCGATAAAGCCCTGTCATATTCATACGAATGATTTTGTAACCTCCGCTTCTTCGAACCATGAACCATACAACTAAAACGAGCCCAACCCTTCATTGAAAAAGCCCGAAAGCTTCAAAGCTACATCCCGAAAAAGCTTCCGGACCCCGTATCAAACTCATGTGAGAATTTCTGGAAGCCTTTATAAAGACCGAGAAACCATGATATAACACCTTGTACACCTCAGCGAACCTTATGTAAGTAAAGGCTATACCCTAAACCCGAAACCCTAAGCCCTAATCCATAAACCCTAAACCTGAAACCCTAACCCCTAATCTGTGAACCCTAAACCGAAAACTCTACTGTCGGGGCGTAAACACTGTAATAATATAGGGTTTGGGGTTTAGGGTTTAGGGTTTAGGAACCATAAGGAATAATATAGGTCATTCTTTAGGCTTCTCTACTATGTGGGAACCCTGAGGTTGACATCTCCAAGCCCTTCCTGCGTGATCCGTGGGTTTACGGCTTAAGGTTTAGGGTCTAGGGTTTAGGGTTTAGGGGTTTAGGGTTTAGGGTTTAGACATACTAAACCCCTTGTGAAAATAAACCTAAACCCTATAAGCCCTGGGCCCTACGCCCCAAACCCTAAACCCCTGAACCCTAAACCCCTGAAGCTAAAAACCCCAAGCCCCAAATCCTAAAAGCAGTTCCAAACCCACTTTGGGTCGGCCTTTGCTTCGGGAGGTATGCTGAGCTGACCTGGGCATTGAAGTGACAGGGGAGAAAAAGGGTTTAGGGTTTATGGTTTAGGATAAGTATAGATTTTTTAAGTATAGACTTTTAGGGTTTAGGGTTCCTTTAAGGAACAGGTCCCCCCCTAAACCCTCAACCCTAAACCCTAAACCCCCCCAGAAAAAAAAAAAACTAAAGTATGCTACTCCACAGCCCAGGTGACTTCCCGGCAGCGTGGCCCACGCCAGGCAGCGACGGAAGCCCAAGTCGGGTGCTTCCAGCAGGAGCACCTTGAGGGTTTAGGGTTTAGGGTTTAGGGTTTAGGGTTTAGGGTTTAGGGTTTAGGGTTCAGCAGCTCTTGGTCGAGCCGTTCTAAAGTCAAGTTGCATTCATAGTTATAGATAATCACCCACCC